CCGGGGGGCGGGGACCAGAGGAGGGGAGGAGGGGACCAGAGGCTGGAAGAGGGGGGCTGGGGGCTGGATGGAGAGGGCCCAATGTGGCCAGCAGGGCGGAGGGACCAGGCAGACCCGCACGTCCTTGCTCCCACCGGGGTGGACTGGCGTGGATCCCTCAATCAGAAGAGACACCAGGCTGGACACCTCCATTTCAGATATTAACCCCTCCCCAGGGCGGCCCTGGTGGGCAGGGTCTCTGAGCTGCGGGAAGTGCGCCAGAGGGGGTCCTCCACGGGGAAGGGCAGGTGCCTCTGACCAGCCCAGCACCCCCGCCCACACGGGGCAGGAAGGTCTCCAGCCGCTGGCCCAAAGGGACACTCCCCAGGATGGGTTCCGTCTTGCCCTGGGACCCGCGCAACTGCGGGCAGGATGTCCCTGGGAAGAGTCCAGCTGCAGTGCCCACGGTGGGCAGGGCTACCCCAAGCAGCCATTTCCAGGGAAAGCCAGCGAGCGGGGCGGGTGCCCCCGCAGCTGTGTGGGGACTAGACAGAGAGCCTGGCCACGTGGGACCTTCCTAAGCAGACACACCCCTACCCAGCCACCCAGCTGGTCTTCACACCCAGTGTAGATAGGACACCCAAGGTGGGAGGGTGCCACCTTCCTGCCCTCAGACAGAGGGCTCTCACCTGGGGTAGACAGGACCCTGAGCGTGGGCAGTGGGTCCTGCCCTTACAGTGAGGGTCCCACCCGGTGTAGACGAGGATCTGGAGAGTCTGGGTTTAGGTCTTTCTCGGATCCCAGGGGTGTGAGGTGGGGGCTCCTGTTCAGGCTGGTGGAGGTCTGCAAACCTGTCTCACACAGGTTTGGCCTTCACTGTAGGGTAGAACCTCCCGGGTCCTGGTGTCTGTCGGGTTTCTGTGAGCAGGCGTGCAGGACTGGACATGAGGTCCCAGTGCTGACATGCGAAGCCTCGCCCGCATCTCCCCTGTTCCCGCCAACAGCGCCCGCCCGAACGGGCGCCCCCTCTCCCCACGCCTCCCCCAGCAGGATCTTGTAGCTTCCAGATCAGGCTCAGGGCAGCTGGGCAGAGAGCCCTGGACGGAAGTCTCCATACACTGACCCCTCCCCACAAGGAAAGGCTTCCCCAGACCGTCTCATCTGACCCCGGGGTCCCTCCAGACAAATCCCAACCTCCCTGGGGCCCTGGGGGCCAGGCCCTGCCTAGAAGAAGAGGGTGTGGTGACCTGACACCCTCGTGCCCACTGCCATGCCCCCACCTGGCTGGGACCGTCAGCCCCACCCCCGCCCCTTAGAAGTGGGCCGTCTGGTTTTTGAAGATGGAAGTCCAGAGTGTGAGTGACGGACAGGAGGGTTCTGACTTCTGACATGGACGACCTTTCTCAAACCACATCAGTGCTGGAGGGGGTCCACGGCCCCGGGGGTTGGGGGGGCTGGCCGGGCTGTGTCTCGGCCCCTCCCCTCTGGGTGGGATGTGCCTTCTGAGCTGGGGGTCGGGGGGACAACTTCAGTAAAGATGCATGCTGGGGGGTCACCAGCCAAGCCTCAAGGGGGGCTTTCATCTTTCCCCAGAGTTGGGGGCGCACCCAGGAAAACACTGTGGGTGCCCACAGAACGTGGCTGATGCGTAGAGGGGCAGCCCTGTGCTGAGAAGGCACAGGTTGGCCTGAGCGTCCTGTCCCGTCACCCCCGGCCAGGAATCCAGAAGCCATCAGAGGAAGAGCCCACTCCCCACCAGGACTGACGGGGGACAGTGACATGCCCACCACACCCTCCCACCTCAAAACCTTGTCCCGGGGGCTGGCTTCCTCACGGCCCAAGCACACCATGTTGGTTTTTCCTTTTCGCTTTTATTTTATTGGACTGTAACGCTCACAGAGACAAGCGCCTGGACCACGCATGGCAGCTTGCCGGATAATCACGGTGTGGACATCCATGAGGCCACGACTCACATCAAGAGACTACACACACGGAAGCAGGAGGTGGAGGAGAAGGCTGAGGGCCCACGCTCAGCTCGGGGAGGGCAGGCAGGGGTGGCCTGGGGGCCCCGGGGGTGTGGGCAGGGTGTCCCACTGCTCGGCTGCCTGGGCGGCCCTGCTGGAGGGGCACGGGGGGACCCCGCTGGGAGGCGTCAGGACTTGCACTGGCCGTCAGGGGCTGACCTTGTACAGGTACGTGATCCAGAGGATGCAGACGGTCATGGAAACCCAGATCCACACTTCCTCGTAGGGGTCGAAACGCGGCGCGCAGCAGTCATCATCCCAGCAGGAGTCCTCCTCCCAGCCCGGCTGGGAGCCGGACCTGCCAAGCCCGGCCCTCGGCTGTCTCCTCTTCTTGTCATAGCCGTGCGTGGCCAGGCCACCGCTCCGGCGGCCACTGACGATGGAGCCGGGGCCCTTGTACTTTATGATGTCGAAGACGGAGAAGGGGATGGTGATGGAGCCCTCACTAATGGTGACGGGTCTACGGGTGCGGGTCCCCGGAAGGGGCTCACGGCCAGCAGGGGCAGGGCCATCACCGCCATCCTCCTTCTCTTCGCCTTGGGTGGTGTTGGCAGGAGCATTCTTGCCTTTGTCTTCATCAGTGAAGATGAAGGGGAAGGTGACAGAGCCGTTGATGTTGGGGAAGGAGTCGTCTCTGATGATGTTCGCCAAAGACGAGGGGAAGGTGATGGAGCCCTCTCCGTCATCCGTGAGGCCAATGATGTAGGACACCGGCAGTGGGCCATTTCCGGCGGAGCTGGGGACGGAGCCCCGGCCTTTGAAGATGAAGCCTTTCAGCTCGAAGGGCTTGATGCTGCTGATGAGGAGGCCTCGGCCATGGAAGGTGGGGCATTTGATGTTCACCAGGAGGCCTCTGCCCTTGGGCGTGGCTGTGGAACTGGCCGGCAGGTAGATGGAGCCCTTGCCGACGATGAGGGGCCCGCCGGGGTCAGCCGCTGGGAGGGAGCCCGGCCCCGGCCTGACACAGCCCTTGGCACCGGCGGCCGGCCCCTTGTCTCTCCCCACATCCACAAGGGAGAAGGGGACGGTGACGATGTCGTCATCTTGGCTGAAGAAGTTGCTGCTCTCGGAAATCGGGTTCCTGATGAAGTCGGCCACGGAGAGGGGGATGGTGATGGAGTTGGGGGTGTAGCCCCTGGCGCGGTCGACCACGGGCCCACTGCCAAGGGTGAGCAGCTGCTTGCCGGCGGCGGTGGTGGCCAAGCCGCCGCCTCCGTACAAGGTGTACCTGCCCTTGATGGTGCTGGGGCTCTTGACCTCGGGCCCCCAGGCTGGGTCTGGGGGCTTCTGGAAGAAGCAGACGCCCAGGTCGCAGGCCTCGCAGCGCTCACCAAAGCAGATCTCGGGGCACTGGTCTGAGCTGAGGCTCTCACCATAGCACTTCTGCAGGATGAACAGGACCAGCTTGTTGAGGAAGAGCCGGACATTCAGAAGGCTCACCTGGCAGTGCCCCTGGACGCCCGGTGGGCACAGCCTGCACTGCTGGCCCCAGATGCGCATCTTCACCAGCCCCAGGCGGCTGTCCTCATCCAAGCACGTGTGGAAGAGGATGTGCACGTGGGCCGAGGACCAGCCCCACTGGCAGCGGCCACACTGGAGCCTGGGGGTGGGGAGGACAGAGGCGGCAGTGAGCGGAGGGGAGGGGGACGGCCCTGGCCCCCGCCCACTTGGAGGCCGGCCCAGCACAAGCTCCGGGACCGAGACCCCTTCCACAGGTGTGCGCCACTTGCCTGCGCGCATAAGCTGGAAAGCTGAAAAACAAAGGCCTTTTCACCGGGTGGCAGAGCCTGCCTGACACTTGTGGGAGGTCACTGCCCCGCTGCAGCCGGCTGCTGCTTTCTGCCCTGAGGACATGTCACCAAGAGCCAAGGGCAGCCCTGCGGATACCTGTGAGGGGGGTAGAGCCTGGCTCCCCCAGGGGAGGCCCCCCCCCCGCGGGCCCCTGCACGGCAGGGCATGCCTGGCTGGGTGGGGTCCCCGCAGGCTTGGCCCATCCCTGGGGCTGTCCCCATGACAATGCGGAGAAGTGAGGGGAGGCCCTGGAAGGAAGAGCCCCATCCCCACGGAGAGGTGAGATGGAGGGGCGGGGGAGTCTCGGGACACAGATGGCGGGGAGAGCCGGGAGGGGCTGGGGGCTCCCAGGATGATGGCGAGTGAGCCCCTTCCACTGGTCCGCTCTGGCTCCAAACACGTGAGCAAAATGGCCCAGCACCACTGGGGCTGAAGAAGGTGCCGGTCCAGGGCCTCTGCGGCCGTGTGCCCCAGGGCCGGCAGGGGGGCCCTCTCTCCAAGACCCTTAGGTCATGGATGAGCGACCACATGCACGTGCACGTGGGAAACCTGCCCAGTATCTCCCAGGCAGCGCTGTCCCACGGGACTTTCCGTGATGGTGAGGATGGGCTCCGTCCTCGCGGCCCAGCCAGCAGCCTACAGCCACAGGTGGGGCTGGACACGGCTAGTGCCCTGGGGGCTGGACTTTCAACTCCATTTCAATGTGGCCAGCTGTGGCCAGGGCTGCTGTGTGCAGGACGAGGGACAGTGCCTTGTGACCCCCCACTCCCCGGCATTTCTAGCTGCATGAAAGCTGAAAGGCAAGGGAACAGTGTTTGTGACCCTCGGCCACTGAAGGCAGTTCTCCAGCTTGGCCGTGGGAACAGGTGCTTCTCAGACACACCGAGGGCCGATTCTCCTAACACCTGGGAAAGCCAGCGTCCCACTAAACACCTGGCCCCAGGGGTTTCAGACACTGGGTGGGGGCTGAGGCGTCCGTTGTCAAAGGGTGGCTGCCCACAGAGTCCCCGTGGTGACCTGTCCGTGAGGCCCCCTCCCCCAACGACCCCCCTCCCCGCGGGCCCCTGCAGGGCAGGGCATGCCTGGCTGGGTGGGGTCCCTGCAGGCTTGGCCCATCCCTGGGGCTGTCCCCATGACAATGAGGAACGGGGCTCACATGGTGACCCCCACGACACTGGGGCTCCCAACCCAGCCCCTGCTCGGCCTGCAGCCCAGCCCAGATACAGCTCCCCACTCTGGGCCTGTGCCCCCCTCAGGCACGACTTAGCCTCCCTTCCATCAGGCCCCGTGCAGGCTGGGGTGTGAGCACAGGCACCTGCCCATCCCCTGCTCTGGCGGTCAGCACTGCCATGGAAACCAGGAGATGCTGCGGTGAGCAGACGAGCCTCTCACGCGTGGGTGGCCGCATCACCCCCCAGCATCCGCCATGCCCCCGCTTCTGCGAGGCCCCCGACTGGGGTGGCCGGCACCGAGGGACTGAACAGAGGTGGCTCCCCAGCCCCCCACTTCCTGGAAGGGAGAACGAACGCCTGGTCCACCTACCTGTTGGAGGCCAAGAGCCGGAGGGATGCGTGCCCCTTCCGGGCCCATGAGGGCCGGACTGCACCAGCCCGGCCTCCAGACTCAGGGCCTCCCCGGCCGGTGCTTAAGCAGCTTCAGCCCCTCCCTGCCCAGCACCCCACAGCGGCCCCCCGCCTGCAGCGCACCTGGAAAGCCCCCTCAGCCGGTACTGAAAACCGCCACCCTCCATGTGCCCGGAGGCCAGGTTCTCCTCAGGGACCAGCTCCCAGGTGTCCTGGGGTTTCCTCTTGGCCATCAGCTGGGCCAGGGTGCTGGCCCACACGTCCACCCCATCCATGCTGGCGCCGGGCTCCGCAGTGCAGTCTGGAAGCTGCGCCCACTGCCACTCCAGGGAAGCCTGGGATCCCACATCCTGCATCCTCACCAGCCAATCACCGCCTTGACAACCGTCCAGTCTCCACGGCAACCAGGGTCGGCTCCGGGAAATGAGAAACAGGCCTTTTTTTCTCATCCCCTCGAATGTTTTCTTGTTACGCAAGCGATACATTTTCATTTTAGGAAAAACAAGAAACAAACAGATAAACACAGAGGAAAACAGACAACAGAAAATAAACTGGTACGTAATCATCACTGTGGTGCTGACGTCCGCACGTGGCCCCACACACAGGCATGTGTAAATCTTCGTATCTGTTTCTCACAAGCAGGAAATCGCACTCAACGTGGCCTCCTTAGCCCACAACATGCCTCAGACAGTGTTGTCCACTCGTCCGCGTGTAAGCGTCTGCCGTGTTTGCAGCCCGCAGCTGAGCCGCATCTGCTGCCCGGCCTCCGTCCCGGCTGCTGAGTGCTCCTTTACCACTGAAAACGAGCCCGGGAGGAAGTGCCCTGAACATGGGTGCTTGCAAAGTTCCCCATGGTTTTTTCTCAAACTTCATATTGGCTAGAATGTAGAACATTTATGTAAACAACGGCTAAAACATAACGCAGAGTGTCACAGTTACTGTAAAGCCTTGCTAGGCACCTGAAGGGCAACCCCCCAGCGCGCTCCATGGGCTCCTCCCTTGCAGAGGTACGGTCAGCCTGGCCGGGACCCCTTAGGGCTCCACGACCAGAGACATTCCCCTTTGCTGCTTTGGGCTTTATGCACACAGAATCGTGCAGGACACGTTTTGTGCATGTGAGTCTGGGCCCCCACCCTCCCCGTGGGCGGACAGAAGCATCGCTGCAACCAGCCGCCTCTCACGCACGTGGCCAGGCTGCTGTGTGCCCCAGGTGAGGGTCATGCACCTGCTGGACAACCATCCTCAGGCTTCAGAACTACCGCTTCCACGCCTCCTGGGAGCTGGGCTCCCTGGGCCTTTCTGGCCACCTGAGCCTCCCCTGCTCTGGAGGACCGTCCACCTGTTCCCGTGTCCCTGTCCCCCTGCATCCTGGCGAGGTCACTGTTTCATCTTTCACTGCCCCTCTAGGGCTTCGGATGCTGTGCTCTGGTCCTGCTGCTTTGGTGGTGGCCCCAGAAGCTCCCGCGTGTGAAGGGAGCCCACACCTTCAGAGGGTAGAGCAAACGCTCTGCCCACCACCGGCCTCATCCCCTGTGGTGCCCAAAACCTCTCACTCACCCTCGGTGCCTCCACCACTGTCTCTCTGACCTGCGCGCAGAACGATCCTTCTCCTTTCTTAACGGCTGGCGAATTCTCTGCTCATCTTTGTCCAGTCTGCAGCTAATCTTGGCGAGTGAGTGGATGTCCTTTTCACATTTTGCATTTCTGAAACCTGTTCTTGGCTCTCTCAGCTATGCGCCATCTGTCTGCCTTGCAGCAAAGCGTGCTCACGGGATAGGAGAGGAAATTAATTGGGATGTGCTCCTGGGAAGGCTCCATCCTGTGGGACCAGCTAGCTGGGAAAGACCCATGCCCCCCTGCACTGTCCCCTGCATCTGTTCGTTGATGCAGACATGATGACTGGCACTCCTGCAGCCCCCTTGGACCATGAGGTGAACTTGCAGATGGAAGCCATGTGTGGAGGAAGCAGAAAAGCAAGACTTTGGACCCTGGATGACAGTCGGGGTCACTGTACCACCTCAGGATCACCTACCTCTGGATTCGTTGTTCAAGAAAGAAGTAAACATCCAGCTCCTACTGTTATCGTAAGGCCCGGTGCTCTGGGTTTTCTGGCTCATCAGACAACCAATTACAGCACTTCTAACTGATATGCTGGGCTGTGCCTAAGGCCCTGGGTTTTGCTGGTTGGTCTAGGGCCATTGTGTGTAGGTGGGCATGCGTGTGGTCCTGGTCACGTGGCCAGCAGGGGTCTGAGGGTATGGCTGTAGCCTGGAGGCTGTGCAGAGGTCCCCACAGGGCTTTTCCTCTCCATGTGGCCTCTCTGGACCCAGCACCCTGACTGCTTCCACACCATGCTGGGCGTGGGAGCCCACGCTCCGCCCCAGGGCCGTACCACAGCCCTGTCCGCCCGGCCCACCCCGCAGCCTCCCTCGCTCTAGAAACCACAACCTGCCTCTGAGTTTAGGGAAGAGTCTTGGTATCATGACTGACCGCCACCCAAAAACAATCTATTTGGTTCGGGAACTTCCTTATGCCTCTCCCAGGAGACTGCTAGAAAGGCATAGGGGGCAGACCCAAGGGAAGCCAGCCTCCACGTGCCTCTCTCCCCATGCCCATTTATCCGTCCCCCCAAGCCCCCAAACCAAGCTCTCTGCAAAAGCTGCTCACACGGTCAGCTAACAAGTCAGTTGTCTTCTTGACCAGAGGGGTGATGGATGAGGCAGAACACGCACAGCGCTCGGCCGACGCCCAGGGGCTGTGGCGTGACCCTGAAGCTGGCCAGCTGTGTGTGGTCCACCTGCATGGATGCGGGTCTCTCCGACATGGACTCTAGGAATGAGGCTTGCTAGATATCCCTTCCGCCCCTGCTCTGTCCTCCACCCTCTGCGCACCACTCTGTGACCAGCCTCCCCAACGCATCGATGACTCCAGAATGGGTTGGGCTCGGGACGGAGAGTGATGTCAGGGGCAACCAGGTACCGTTTCAGTGCTACTGCCCCAGCTGACGGAGACAGCGCTCTCCTGTCCCCCATGGACACTCTCCTTTTGGCTCACACCGACCTGCCTGGCACTCAACTTCTTGTGTTCAGCTTTTGGAGAAGGTGGCTGGAAGGCAGGGGTCAGCCCTCACCACTGGGTGGTATCCAGCTGGAGCATTTGAAAGCACACCTTCTGGCAACCCCGATGAGCCATGAGGACCGTCTCCTGCAAGTGACAATGCTCAGAGCCTCTGTCCCCCTCTTGGCCTGGGCATGGCTGGACCAGAGAAGTGCCAACTTTGGGACAGGACAGCACAGTAAAAGAGTCAAAGCCGGAGACCAGGCTGGGAGAGGGAGGGCATCCCAGGGTCCAGCTCCAGCAAGGCCAGCTAGCTGAATGGACCCCACCCTGTGTGTCTGGAGGAGAGGAGTTGAGAGAGACAGACAGACAAGGAGAGAAAATCAGGTAGAAATAATCATGCCGGGTTCACCCCTGCCCTCCCCCAAACCTCGGCTCCAGGGACACAGGGCAGCTGGGCAGACCCCAGGCCCAGCCCCCAGCATGCAGGCACGGTGGGTGTCTCTGGGCTGCCGGTGGGCAGGGGCCCTGGAGTCGGCGGCCAGGACAGCAGCGTCTGCACGCCAGCAGCCCCTCGTCCAGCGTCCTGTCCCGCGGGCTCTTCCCACCACCTCCCCAAGTTCCTTGCTCTGCTGTCCACCGAGCTGCTGCCGGGCAGGGGGCCAGTCATGTCTGCCAAGCCCTGGTGGCGTGGGGGCTCACCCTGGAAGGAGCAGTGAGAACCACAGAGACCGGCCTTGGGCCACGAAGGGACAGACTGGGGACCTCAGGGCCAACGAGGCGGGACCTGGGTGGCTGGCCCTTTGGACATCTTGGCTGTAAGCATGTTCCCCGCATAACTAACTGGCCACACAGCAATTTTGTGAAGGATAAAAAAATAACTGGCTACTAACAGCTTGGTTTGACAGTTCCATTTCCTGACGCTGGTGGATAGTTTGGTTTCATGTCTCCATTGAAATAAGCAGGTGTGCGCAGAGCAGGGCGGGGGACCCTCCCTCGGCCACGTCCGCCGTGTGGAGAGCGGCAGTCCCGGGGTCGGGTGGCCGGCGTCCCAGCCTGCGGGGGCTGCAGCTGCCCCACCTGGCTGACCAGCCAGCAGGCAGGCCGAGCGGCGTCCACGGCGAGAAGTCAGACGTGACGCGCGTCTCACACACCCATGTGAGCACACACACACGAACGCACAGACACATCCACGTATACACACAAACAAACGTGGGAACTTAAAGTGTAAGTTCAGTTGTCTTCTTGAACCGTGTTCAAACAACAGCATTGTAGAAAGTTGACCAAGTAAGGAGAGTCGGAAATCTGGGATTCTGCCACCTTAGCGAACAGACAACCCAACCATCTCTATTCTTGTGTGTAACAAATGGTGTCATATTTTGTTCAAATTTTTAAAATGGGGTTCTTAAATTGGGCAGGTAATTTGGGTGCTCTTTTTTAACTTCTGGGAAATGCTTCAAAAACAGGATAGAACAAAAAGTTTTTATTTGCAAACACTATTAACCATTTCCTGTTCCGACCTCAGAAATAGCTGCGAACCTGCCACCGCCTCCCGGGGCCACAGTCGGTCCAGGCAGGGTGACATCACCTCCCTGCCGGCTCAGAGGCAGTTTCGGGATGATCCTTCTGCTTCCTGTGTTTTACCATAAATGGAAACTTCCCTGTGACTGGGCTGCTGCCTCGGGAAAGCGCAGGGGGATCCCCTCTCCCCCACTTTCCATCGTGCTGGCTCATGTTCCGGCTCCCCCGCCCGCCCGCCCGCACACCCTTGCTTGGCGTCACAGTCACTGCCCGCCTGGCACCTTGGAAACCAGACTCGCTTCTCAGACGGGGAGGGTGGGAGGCCCCGGGCAGGAAGCTTCTCCCACCCCTAGAACCAGACCCTGCTTCGGGAGGGAGGGCGGCACCCACCTTGCAAACGACCCTCCACCCTCAGGGCCTCCTGAGCAGCCTCGGTAGCTGGTGGCGGGCTTCCCCAGGTAGCGCACAGCCAGGACAGGAACACGGGCCCACGGGCCCAAGGCGCGGAGCACGCGGGACAGGCAGCCCTCGTGGGGCAGAGGCGGCGGCTCACAGACTCCCTGAGCATCTCCGCCCCGTCACAGGCCTCAGGCCAGAAGGGCCCAGCTGTGCTCAGCCCGCACAGAAAGGAGCCCTCCAGAGACGCACTGCGCAGACATGCGTGGACAGGAGGGAGGGGCCGTGACTCCTGTGTGCGGAGCGCAGGGTCGTCCCGGGGCGGGCACCAGCCGCACGACACACACCATAACCCCACACGGAGCTCTGTGTGCAGGGGACAGCAACCGTGTCAGCATCCTGGTTGAGATACCAGGGCCGGAGGCGCAACGTGTTACCGAGAGAACCCCAGGCACGTGTGAAGGGCCGGCTCTCCCCCGTTTCCGAGACTGCGAGAGAACGTGGTTACCTCAGTGACCACAAGCAACATCCTTCTTCATCAAAGATCCCATGAACTGGGGGTCCTGGGTTGTCCCTGATGCCTGGTTACAGGTGGGAACAGGGACGGAAAACCCCAGGCTGGGACCTCCCAAACCCGAAGGGGTGAAGCCAGGACACAGGGCAGGGAGGAGAGGGCTAGCCAGGCGGGACACAGGCAGGGGGCAGACGGGACCCTGACCTTGCCCTTCCCTCCAGCCAGGGAGCCTGTCCTGTCCCTAATGAAAGATGGTGAGGAAAGGGGACAGTGTGTGTGATGGGGACAGTGAGTGTGATGGGGACACTGTGTGATGGGAACAGTGTGTTTTAGGGTGACATGTGTGTTTTGCAGGGACAGTGTGGTAGGAAGAGTATGTGTTTGGGGGAAAGTGTGCTGACAAGTGTTGGGGAGCTCCCCTTGGGAGTACAGGACCCCAACAGTCCCTGGGACTCCTGCCCTGTCTCCCACTGTCCCAGCCTCCTCCCCAGGCTCTGATCCCATCACCTGCTGGTCCTGCCCACCCCAGGGTGGAGTGTGAGGCTCCTCCGGGCTGTGTCCCCTCCCTCTCCGGCCTGCACAGTCTCTGTGCCCTCCTGTGCCTCCATATCGGCCTGCCGACCCAATACTCCCAGGGTGCAATGCCCCTTTCAGTCTCTTGAGTGGGCCCTGCACACAGCCCACCACCCCAAGGGAGGGGTAAGAGGTTGGAGGGAGGAGAAAGGAAGCGACAGAGGGTGGTGGGCAAGGAAGGGGACAGTGCATCCCCACATTCTCTGGCGAGCATCTCTGGACACGCATCCAACTCTTGCAGATGGAATCACAGCTGGTGTGGCTGGGGGGTGGGAGGTGGCCAGGGATCTGACGCAGTCTCCCATCCCAGAGCACACCCCCCAGACTGCCCCACTGGCCCCTCCAGCCCCAGGCCTCCGAGGGCGGCATGACCCCCAGCGCAGAGCCTCAGGCTCCAAAGTGGGGGGCGCCAGGGGCAGGTGCCCACGGGGTCCGAGCCTTCCTGGGGGCCTGGCAGCCCCGAACCTGACCTGACCCACGTCCCCGGACCCGGACCCCGCGCCTGACCGCTGAGGGGAAGCCACGAGGGCGGGCGGGCCAGGGGACACCTGTCCGGGAGGGGCGCCCCCGCAGGCCGCAGTGCCCGCACCGCGGA